TCTCAGCATCAAGGGTCCTATCTGGGCACAGGCTGAATCCTCCACTGCCTGCATTACTTGTGGCTCCCTCTAGTCACCAGTTCCTTGTAAATCCAGCAGATTTGTTCCCCACATCCAGCACACTCCGCTTCCTCCCAATCAGGCCCCATGTGCCCAGGATATTAGATTGGAGGTAGAAAAGACCAGAGTGTTTTGTATTCAAGAATTTTAAAACATCATGTAAACATGGACATTTTAATACTGTTAAAACAATAAATAGTAAAACAGGCATTTGTCCAGAGAGGAGGGAGGCAAGATCTAACACACACACACACAAAAAAAAGATTCCCTGACTGGACACTGTGGATCATGCCTGTACTGCTAGCTAGTCAGGAGTCTAAATGGGAGGATCATGGTTCATAGCCATATCTGGCAAGAAAGTCCTCTTCTGTCCGATTAACCACCAGAAAACTGCAAGGGGAGCTGTGACTCTAAGTTGAAGAGCATTAGCCTTGTGCAAAAAAAGCTCAGAGACAGGTCCCACAACATGAGTTCAAGCTCCACAACAAAACAGAAGAGAGGAAGAGACAGAGAGAGAAAGGAGAGAGAGAGACAGACAGACAGAGAGAGACAGAGAGACAAAGACAGAGACAGACAGAAACAGAGACAGAGACAGAAAGACAAACACAAGAAAACAGTCAGGAAGACTGAGAAATCCCTTACCACTCCAATTAGAAAGTGAAAATGGATATCTAAGATGTATTTCCTATCCTTCCACAGTTCACTACATAGTACCACATCATCCTGATCCACATTGGGCTAACTAGAATCTATTTGGAGTTTCATAAATCATTCTACACGCTCCCATAGAACATGAACAGGCCCACACCTACTCACCAATGATTTGTAAGTCTGGCATTTTTGCTTAAATATGTAATTTTCCCATTCGTATGTTTTTCTGTTTCCATGGTTTAAAGCTACCATTGCCCACATTTCATGTCTAGATGTCTTCATCTTTTGTGCCAGTAGTGGAATTCGAACTCAGGACATTGAGCTCTTGCTTACTTTTTGTTCCATTTTGAAACATGTAACTTCAGCCATGCTAGGACTTCCTGACTTTTGCTGGCTCATTGGATAAGTCTTTCAGATTTGTCTACAGGGGCTGATTTGAAGCTCCATCCTGAGGAAGTATAGAGCACTCTTGAAACTAGAATTATTGAGATGGGCCAGGACACCTGGCATGTCTTTGTCAATATGACTAAGTTTTCTTTCTTCTATTGATGATGGCTTTTACCTATTTCCCATGTATTTTGTCAAATACTTTTCCCTCAAAGTAGCTTTTTGATGTTATTTTGAGGTGAAATGTTCTTACATATTAGCACAGAGCAAAATGGGGGTGCGTACTGACTTGACTTCACTAAAGGAAGAAAGTCCCCCATTTAGTACATTTAGTCTGACAGAACAACTTTCAAGGACATCTGGTTTGCTATGTCCTAGAGCTTTAGTAGTGGCCTGATCACCCCATGCAGGCATGGGCTGGGTTCCTTACCCCTCACAGTGCACTGAACACTTCCCTCTATAGCCACTTATTGCTCTTGGACAGCTCCAGGTCACTCTGTCTTTTGCCCTTACTCAGGACACATGTGTCTGGGACATCAGAATGTACATTAAAAAACCCACAGTATTCAGGATCCATAAATTGTACAACATAAACATACATTTTAATAAATTTAGAAGAATAAAAAGAATGAACATTTTAGAACAATCAGGACAAAAACAAAAGAGAGATATCCCCAGGGAGAGGGGAGGGAAGCTCTAAGTCTAGGCCGGCTTCTACGTGGCCTTCAGATATAAATTCTACCTCAGAATCCTCCAAGGGATCTACCTCCTCATGAAAGATAGGATTTGCTCCTGGAGTTGAGAGAGAGACAGATTCTAATTTCTCC